AACCATACATCAATGGAAAGCTTATTTATTCAGCTTTCATATGTTGTATACATATCAGTTTCGGAAAATTGACCCTTATGACTGGTTTTGTGGTCCATGGTCCACGTGTGTGTGTGTGTGTGTGTGTGTGTGTGTTTATACAAAAAATTTAATAATAATAAACAAATTATTATTATTATTATTTTATGAACTGATTTACTAAGTAAAACTTGTGAGACTCCAGATTTTCCAGTGTTTGTTTGGCTCTAAAGCTCTATGTGAAGTACAGTGTGAAAACAATATGTACCATTTTTTTCTAAACTGCACCTTTAAAAAAAAAACGTAACTTCTTTAGAAACAGTTCATCTACTGCCACACTACTGAAAAATGCAGTTAAGTTAGTAGCCTCACTACTTTTAATTAGTTACTCTAACACTGTCACCCCCTCCTCCTCGAGGAAGGAAAGAAAACGGGCAAAATAATGCCACAGTGGGGTTTTTTATTCATTATTGTTCTTTTCCTTCCTCAGGAATTTTCACTCTAGTGCTTTTTTATTCTTTCCCCCTTTATTTTTCATGCGTATCCCGTGTTCCCTTCATCTCTCAAGGGCACAATATTGCCTGTGTCCTCGCTGGAAGCCTGTCTTTAACATCTCTCTGTTCTTAACCATTCCTCATCACCCCTTCTGTATCTGTTTCTTCTCTCAAGGACCGTCACTTTATTTCTCCCCCTCGCTCTTTCTGTTTTCTTAGGGCTGTATTGTACTCTTTAGCCCTGTTTTTCTATCTCTCTCCTTCCCTGTAATAAATAAATCTCTTTCCTTTTACCCAAGGACTCTCATATCGAATTCTTCCATCAACCCAGGCTTCTTCCAGTGCACTTACATCCTTTTATTATCTGTCCATTCATCCATCCAGCTGTCCAGCCTTGACTTTCCCCTTTTCAATTCTTCGCCCATCTCTTTGCTCTTTCTCCTTGTGCTAAATATCCTTTTTATTTTCTCTGCCACTCCTTGTCTTCATGAGTGAAGCTCTGATAATGTCAAATGCTTTTCTTCTTGAGTGCTTCTTGATACCAATGTAGGATCTCTGTCTTCGAACGGACCCACTTACACTATTGCTTGATTTAAAGTGTAAACTATCAAATTTGGAATCAGTTCTAATCAGGTTGAATTCGAATCTTCAGATCCTAGTCCTCTCAAAACCTGAATGAAATAATAATAATTAATTCCCCTACAAATGAGTTAATTTCATTACACCAAGGTCAATGTTTAGCGTGGAAACACACGTGGAGCACAAACAACATGAAACCAAATCACAGGCCTATTTCCAGTCAAGCATTTTACAACTGGCACAGCGGTATGCTAATGAGTGCTTAGCAACATCACTAAATTATCACCACAACTGAGAGGGTTGGTAGTTAGTATCTGTCAGTAAAACTGAGTAAATTCAGTCAAACTCAGTGTGGTATGAACCCTGAAGCGTACTTGTAGGTGTACCAGAAATCCATCAGGTTTATTTTAGGTCATTTATTATAATACTTTTTAATGTGCATTTAGTCTTTAAAACGTTTCGGTGACTGAAAGTCGCTCAATTTAATTGGTTTCAAATTATAGAGGAAGTACATGTATGCCTGATTTTACACAGCAAGACTTCAGCCATTTCTTCAAAGCTTTATGTATAAGCTGATCTATGAATAGAGCACTTAATTTTGTGTTAAATAAATCAAATTCAGAATAGGCTTTTGTGTCTTTTGCAGTAGTCTGTTTGAGGTCATCTGTGTGCTTCTTTATCCCAACAAACTCCCTGTTATTAGACATCATGGGTGACGAATATCTTTGCAAATGTAATTTCTGCAATAGCATTGGTTTTAATGCGTGATGAGTGATGCTGCATTCAAACGGGTGTCAGTATAATCATAAACGGCTGTTGTATCAGAGTGCACTATATCAAACTAGTTATGCTAATTCTCTCTTTTTCTCTGTTTGTTACAGAAAGCAGATCTGGCAGTGGCTGGATTTACCATCACATCGGAGAGGGAGAAGGTCATCGATTTCTCCAAACCTTTCATGAACCTTGGCATCAGTATCCTTTACCGCGTCCACATAGTAAGACACATCTTTAATATACTGAATTGTGACTTTACTATATTGGTTTTTATATATTGGAAATTATTTAATTCAGCTAATAGCTCAGACAGTAAAGTTCCATTTAATAAAAGAAAAATAAATGTTTAAACACTTAATATATTATCCTTGGATATATAGTATTCTTTGGCCAATATCACACAAGCTGTCAAGAACATTTATAATAATAATAATAATAATATTATTATTAATTTGTATTATTTTCTTACGAAACATGTAAATACCATTTATAATAATATGAGTATGATTATTATTATTATTATTTAGAATAATAACAATAAAAGTAAAACAAGTAAACTTTATTAATAATAAATTGTAATAATAAAAAAGTTATAAATGTTTATTAGAAATATTTATTATTATGTATTAATTTTCTCTCAAAACATTTCAAAAACATTTATAATAATAATAATAATAATAATTTATTAAAATAATAATAATAAGCAAACATTAATAATAACAACAACAACACTATTACTATTATAATTGTTAGTGTTGTTGTTATTATTATTAATATTATTGTTAATGTTTACTTATTTTATAATTGTTATTGTTAACAGTGTTATTGTTAATATTTTTTAATGATTATTAACAGTGTTGATTTTTAATCATGTTACTGCGTAATTAAAAAATTCATTTTTTTCAAGATTTTGTATTGGTTGAATTATTATTTAAAGGGGTCATAGGATGCTACATGCACTTTTACAAGTCTCATTAACATTTAAAGGAAAATGCTACAAAAACCGCTTGATCTGAAAAGAGCTGTTTTTGACAGGGTAAAAAAGGTGTTTTTTACACTACCATTGAGAAATTTTAACCAAACTATGTTACAGACTTTTCATTAAGACCCTAAAGAATCATATCAACTTGTGGAAAATGGGCATCCTATGACCCCTTTAACATTTCTTGCATGAAAATCTTGCATTCCTGTAGCTCAAACAGTAAACCATGATGCGAGTATAACGGCATCAGTTCCCTGAGAAGGTGCTTGTAAGGTGCTTCGGATACAAGCACCTGCCTGATGCATAATGCATAATTGAATACATGAAAAATTGTTCATAATATTTTGTCCGTATCAAAACCAAACTTTTACCTCTTCATATGAAAGCATGCACTAAACATAACAACAACAAACAGCAATTGTATGAGGAAAAGCTTTCAACTGTTTGGAGAGTCTCTGTCTGTAGGAGTGGTAAAAGCATTGTTTGAATTGTTTATGTGCTTTCTACAGGGCAGGAAGCCAGGTTATTTCTCCTTCTTGGATCCCTTTTCGCCAGCTGTCTGGCTATTCATGCTTTTAGCCTATCTGGCCGTTAGCTGTGTGCTCTTCCTGGCTGCCAGGTACCACACTGTCACTCAATACACACACATCTATTTTGAATATCATTATATTCACAGTCCAGTGTTCTTCCAGAAGTAACAGTACTCTGCTTCTTTGTTTATTTCTTTCCCTCCCTCCATCAGGCTGAGTCCGTATGAGTGGTACAATCCCTTCCCGTGTTGGCGGGACCGCAGCGACCTGCTGGAGAATCAGTACACACTGGGGAACAGCCTGTGGTTTCCAATCGGTGGTTTCATGCAGCAGGGCTCAGAGATCATGCCCCGGGCTCTGTCCACACGCTGTGTCAGCGGCGTTTGGTGAGTGTGGCGATGTTTCGCACTTCCATGGAGGTGTAAGAGACCATGCAGTAAATGTGTGTGTGTGTGTGTGTGTGTGTGTGTGTGTGTGTGAGTATTAAAGACACTCCTTCACACCGAGTGCAATATCAGTATCGACACCAGCTGGTTCTGCACACAAGATCCAAAAGCTTATATGGGTGACAGCTTTTTAACTAAAGGCTGGAGTAGGTTTTACAGTCTGGAGAAGTTGACACTAGTTGCTTAAAGTCAGAGCCAGTTGACAGATTTAATAGAAAATCACGTAGTGTATGATGGTTACAGACTCTGATTTTTTTAGCTTCAGTCTATGATTCCATTCAGTCTGAGGAGATCAAACATGTTTGATATTTTGAGCTGATTTTAGAACACACATTTTCATTTGTCAAGCGTCTCCTAGCAACAAGGCGTACATTTCTGCTCAAGTTTGTTGTTATCGGAACGACTTGAAGGTCTGGAGAGCAGCTCGGAAGAGAGGGGCGGGGGCAGCAGAGCTCATTAACATTTAAAGGAAAATGCTACAAAAACCGCTTGATCTGAAAAGAGCTGTTTTTGACAGGGTAAAAAAGGTGTTTTTTACACTACCATTGAGAAATTTTAACCAAACTATGTTACAGACTTTTCATTAAGACCCTAAAGAATCATATCAACTTGTGGAAAATGGGCATCCTATGACCCCTTTAACATTTCTTGCATGAAAATCTTGCATTCCTGTAGCTCAAACAGTAAACCATGATGCGAGTATAACGGCATCAGTTCCCTGAGAAGGTGCTTGTAAGGTGCTTCGGATACAAGCACCTGCCTGATGCATAATGCATAATTGAATACATGAAAAATTGTTCATAATATTTTGTCCGTATCAAAACCAAACTTTTACCTCTTCATATGAAAGCATGCACTAAACATAACAACAACAAACAGCAATTGTATGAGGAAAAGCTTTCAACTGTTTGGAGAGTCTCTGTCTGTAGGAGTGGTAAAAGCATTGTTTGAATTGTTTATGTGCTTTCTACAGGGCAGGAAGCCAGGTTATTTCTCCTTCTTGGATCCCTTTTCGCCAGCTGTCTGGCTATTTATGCTTTTAGCCTATCTGGCCGTTAGCTGTGTGCTCTTCCTGGCTGCCAGGTACCACACTGTCACTCAATACACACACATCTATTTTGAATATCATTATATTCACAGTCCAGTGTTCTTCCAGAAGTAACAGTACTCTGCTTCTTTGTTTATTTCTTTCCCTCCCTCCATCAGGCTGAGTCCGTATGAGTGGTACAATCCCTTCCCGTGTTGGCGGGACCGCAGCGACCTGCTGGAGAATCAGTACACACTGGGGAACAGCCTGTGGTTTCCAATCGGTGGTTTCATGCAGCAGGGCTCAGAGATCATGCCCCGGGCTCTGTCCACACGCTGTGTCAGCGGCGTTTGGTGAGTGTGGCGATGTTTCGCACTTCCATGGAGGTGTAAGAGACCATGCAGTAAATGTGTGTGTGTGTGTGTGTGTGTGTGTGTGTGTGTGTGAGTATTAAAGACACTCCTTCACACCGAGTGCAATATCAGTATCGACACCAGCTGGTTCTGCACACAAGATCCAAAAGCTTATATGGGTGACAGCTTTTTAACTAAAGGCTGGAGTAGGTTTTACAGTCTGGAGAAGTTGACACTAGTTGCTTAAAGTCAGAGCCAGTTGACAGATTTAATAGAAAATCACGTAGTGTATGATGGTTACAGACTCTGATTTTTTTAGCTTCAGTCTATGATTCCATTCAGTCTGAGGAGATCAAACATGTTTGATATTTTGAGCTGATTTTAGAACACACATTTTCATTTGTCAAGCGTCTCCTAGCAACAAGGCGGACGTTTCTGAGTGTGTTGTGATCTGAACAACTTTAAAGTCTGGTAGTGTGCGATCCTCAGTCGTTTATGGCCAGTTTTTCCTCTGTGAATATTTCCAAAGTTGGTAAGTATATGATGCATAATGTTTTAAAATCTGTTCAGATTTTAAACACTGTGTAGAGTATTCCAACCTTAAAACTAAAACTATTAGTAACTGTTTTCGGTAACTGAAATTAATTTGAAATAAAATAAAATATAACGATTTTATTAAAAAATACCTTAAACTTTAGACTTTGAAAATGAGAAATGTTCAAATTAAACTACCTGAAAAAAATGTTTTTAAATATATAAAAAGAAAATAGATGCACTATACATATATATTTTTTCTATGTACTATATATAAAAGCACATAAAATAACACTGAGGGTGATTATTCAGTTTTTGGAACATTTCTGTGCCCATAATAATGATTTTAAATTAAAAGAAAAGGTATAATGATTTTTAGAAGGCAATCCTCATTTTAAAGGAAGATTGTTATAGCATTATATTTTGTATTGTTTCTCTTTAATCAGTTTTTCTAATGTTAGAATATGATTCTTAAATGGTTAGAATTTCCTGAATCTGCTGTCTGGTGTTAGCAAGCACAAATCCACAAATCCACACATACAAATTACCAAAATCTACTTGAGTGTTGATCAACACCAAGATCAGCTCTTTATCTCAGAACATGTTTAAACGTAAATAAAATATATTTGGAAGAAGTTGAATTTTTCAAGATTTCATGTCAAGCACTTCTAACGGAATAATCGCACATATCTTATGTGTTGGTAGGAGTTTGTTTTTTGTTTTTTTGGCGAAGCAAACAAAAAATGACCTACTTGGTGTGAAATTGTTCTGCAGGGCAGATTTTCACACATGGGGATGCATTATTTCAATTTAACATCTGAAAATCTGTTCTCTGTGTAAAGAGACCATTAAGAGTGTGTCTTTTCTCACTTACTGAAAGCTTGTTTGGGCATGTTTGTTTTGTGTGCCGACATACATTGTGTATTTCTAGATTAGTCTCCCACCTCGAATCATGTAGCTCTCAGTTCATTTTGCTCTTTCTGCTATCAAGTCAAGCTGTCTTCTGTTCCATCTCTTCAGTTTCTGTCCTGTACCTTGCTGTTGAGGTCATTTAAGTTGAACAACCACTTTTAGGAAGAGTGACAATGGAACTGAAATGATTCGATCAGTGGAAGCCGAATGTTTAATCATCTGTGGTGTGAATAAACACAATAGATGCAACTCTAATCCCACACAGGGGTGACCCAGAAAGCAGAGATCTGGCATCTATCTCTGCTGCGACTCCATGACGCTCTGGGGGACGTGTGTCTGCAATTGGTGTACTTTCATTTTTGATAAAGAGCTTTTATTAAATGACAAGTAACTAATCTGCCTGTTTGTGTATTTTTGGAGGCCAGTCTCTTTAGAAACGTTTCAAATGCTTCACCAGTGTCATGAAAGCGCTTTCTCTGAGGACCTCAGGAGTTTTCTTTCATCTGGCCATGATTCATTCCGGTGAAGAGCTCCATGCTTGTGTTGGGAAGGGCTCTCCAACTTCCTACTGGAAATTCCTACTTAGACAACATAAATCAGCATTTGTAACCACAAAGAATGCATTATTTTTTTCTCAGGAAAATTCTTCTTTTTTTAAAGAAATCATTACTTTTATGCAGCAAGGATGCATTAAAGTGATCAAAAGTGACAGTAAAGACATTTATAATATTCCAAAATATTCTGTTTGAAAAAAAAGTGTGTGTGCGTGTGTGCGTGCGTGTGTGTGTGTGTGCGTGTGTGTGTGTGTGTGAGTGTGCATGTGTGCGTGCATGTGTTGTAATATCACACAGATGATTTGTGCACAAGACTAAGAGCATGGCTTGTTTTCTATCTGGTCCAAGCAAGTTTAGATGGCTGACCAACTGGACCACATATTAGTAGGTCAACCTGGTCAGAGCTAGTAGACCTCAGTGACTCTGGTGGGGAACTAGTTGAGTTGGTTAACAGTGTTCCAGAACACAGTTTATCCACTTAAACATGAAATGGCCTCATTTTTGGAATGAGGATGGTTGGAACATCTAAATGTATTGGTTAATGTGTTAATATTTTTGGCTTATTTGTTTGATTTTTTTTTTTTATGTGTCATCATGCTTTATTAAAGGAATAGTTCACGAATGAAAATTCTGTCATCATTTACTCACCCTTTTCTTTCTTCTTTTGAACACAAAAGAAGATATTTTGAAAAATGTTAGTATCCGAACAGTTGATGGGCACCATTGACTCCCATAGTATTTTTTTGTCCTACAGGTTTGGAATAAGTGGAGGGTGAGTAAACGATGACAGAATTTTCATTCTAGAAGTGAACTACTCCTTTAATTAATTCCCATTACAGATAATTCCACAGAGTTTGCAAACACTATTTATTGATCGTTTTTTAATAGCCTGCTATTTTGCATTTCATCAAAGCAGGTTGTTCTGGCTGACATTGCAGCTGTGTTTTTCGTATTTCATTGAATTATGTTTAAATGTGTCAGCATATCTGCACACAGATATGTCTAATGCAAACATATGTCTCTTATGTACACACTCGTGTTTCTGATAGGAAAAAAACACGTGTTTCTGTGTGTATGAAACAGGTGGGCATTCACACTGATCATCATTTCCTCCTACACGGCGAACCTTGCAGCTTTTCTGACGGTCCAGAGGATGGAGGTGCCAATCGAATCTGCTGACGACTTGGCCGATCAGACAAACATCCAGTATGGGACTATTCAAGGAGGAAGTACTATGACCTTCTTCATGGTACGTATGTGCTTGTTTGTGTGAAATCATGTGTGTGTGTGTGATTTGTTTCACTGGCTTACCATGTGTGCACATGTGATGTCATAATGCATCACTTCCTGTTTATGGCAGCAGTTGGAATAGTGACTCACATCCAGGCCCACATAGAATCTGCCAGCTGAATTTCACTAAAAGCTTCAGATTTCTGCAGAACTGAAACTAAATTTTGTGAAACAAAATTCTACACATGCCCCAACGCTTGCATATATGAATATTCAATCATGTTCAATAAGTTAATATAATGTTAATATTAAGTTTTGTATTAATAATACTGACAAAATGTATACAGTACTATTTAAAACTGTGGGGTCTGTAAGATTTTTATATATTTTTTTTCATGTTTTTGAAAGAAGTCTCATGCTCTTTTTATTTTTAATTAAAAATACAGTAAAAACAGTAATAATATTATAATTTAAAATACCTGTTTTCTATTTTAATATATTTTAAAATATAATTTATTCCTGTAAATGCAAAGCTGAATTTTCAGCATCTTTAGTCCAGTCTTCAGTGTCACATGATCCTTCAGAAATCATTCTAATATGCTGATCTGATGCTCAAAAAACATTTCTTATTAATATCAATGCTTAAAACAGTTGTGCTGCTTAATATTTTTGGAAGCCATGAGAATTTTTTCTAGATTATTTGATCAATAGAAAGTTAAAAAGAACATTTATTTGAAATAGAAATCTTTTGTGACATTATAAATGTCACTTTTGATTAATTTAATGCATCCTTGCCGAATAAAATAATTAATTTCTTAAAAAAAAAAAATTACTGACCCCAAACCTTTGAATGGTAGTTTAAATATTACACATTTTTATTACTAATTTATTATTACTAATAAATATGAATACTTATAAAATAATAATAATATACATTTTATTTAATTCATAATATTTATTATGAATAATATATAATATAAGTAATATATACATGCTCATAGATCCATTCACAATACAGCTTTCTCAACTACTCATTTTATCTAATTGTCTAGAAAAGCAGTTAACTAGTCTGCGGGTCAGTTAGTTACCTTATGTAATTAATATAAAATATGGGCTGAAAAACCAAAGCCAAACCGAAATGTTGTCACCACATATACAACAAGCACAGATAAAGTCATGTGATACACAAATAGTCGAAACAAACCCTTTAATTAGAGGTAAAACTAATAGACTAGTCTGTGCATGTGCTTTGACTCATGTCATAATGCATCATGTCCTGTTTATGGCAGTAAGCAGTTGGCCTAGTGACTCACAGCCACATCCATATTCACACTGGCGGCCAAGTTCACGTCCCCATTACATTAATAATGTATTATTCATCTTTATTTCCCTTACATTTTCACTTTCTTTCAATCTGTTACCTTAATCTAGTTCACTCTCAATGTCTGTCAATAAAATGTCTCTTTATTCATTCACCTGTCCTCGTGTCACTGCAAATATGATTTCGTCTTTGATTTTTCTACGCCTTCCTGTTTCACCTCTCGTTTCTCTCTCCATCTTTTCTGATGACTTTCATGGCCGATGACAAACCTACTCAGAACTCGCGCTACCAGACGTACCAGCGCATGTGGAATTACATGTACTCCAAGCAGCCCAGCGTGTTCGTGAAGAGCACGGAGGAGGGCATAGCTCGGGTTTTAAACTCCAAGTACGCCTTTCTTCTGGAAAGCACCATGAACGAGTACCACCGACGCCTCAACTGCAACCTCACGCAGATTGGAGGCCTGTTAGACACCAAGGGCTACGGCATCGGCATGCCTCTGGGTGAGTGGGGCGGAATGGGAAGTGTCAAAGAAATAAAGAGAGAGAAAGGCTTCAGATGGGATTTAAAGGTTTAAGGCCCTGTCCACACGTTATTTCTAAAACTGCAGCTTTTTCTACGCGGTTTGGCCGTTCGTCCACACGCAGACGCAGCACCAGGTCACTGAAACCGAACATTTTCAAAAACTCCGGTTGCAGTGTTATCGTGTAGACAGCGAAACCGGAATTTTTGGCTTCTGGAGACAAGCCAAAAACTCTGCCTACTGGAAAATTTTTCAGGCTTCTGATTGGCCAGCATGGCTTTACGGTTGAGATTATATCGCCATCTGTTGGTTTGGCATGCGCTTGACAGTGCTTCATAGCATGCGTTTGCGGTTTCATGTGGATGGAGATTTTTTTTAAAAACGGAAGAAGGAAAAACGTTTATAAAAATACCCGTGTACGTGTGGACATGGCCTAAGAGAAACTGAAGTCTGATTTTAACCTTCTTATATAAGTAGAAATACTGTTGAGTGTCCAGCATGGAGGTCTTTAATGCAGTATCTGGAGAAAGTCAGCCATTATCATTCCTAGTCATCTAAGTGGTAATAGCAGCAAACGGTGGAAAATGTCTCACAATTATTTTTGACTCTTAAATCTTTTTATTTCTTATTTTGAACTTTATCTCAGAAAAACTGCCCTTTTTATTTTTACCCTGAGGTGGCAACAGGCTTCTATTGCGTCTTTTGAATAGGCCTCAATGGAGAAAGGTGTTTTTAGAAGGGGTCAGGGTCTCGGCGTAATTCGTTTTTGACAGGAATGAAAATGAAAAACCTTCATAAAACAGTTTAGAAAGTTGTGAGATGTGAAAATTACATGATCTAGGACCTTTAAACACACTGTGAAAAATGTTTGTGATTTTCACATTAAAAGACTAGTGTAAAAATGCTACTGTAAAAACCTGTTCGTTGGTTAAAAGTAATTTTCCTTACTATATATTGTGAATAAATGTAATAGATCTTACATTACATTTAATTCCAATTTACAGTAAAATACTGTTACATTTACAGTTTTTGGAAGTGAAAACAAATAAGTCATTGTATAATTTATAGTGAGAAAAACGTAAATTGACATTCCCAGAATTTCCTGCGTGACACTTTGGGTTTTTTTCCATTGAAAAAACTGTTCCTCCTTAGTTTTTTCTTATCAGTTATGTACATTAGGGTTTTATGTTACATCTAAGAGTAAGTTAACTCTAAGTTTCCATACAGTGAATAAATGTAAAAGATCTACCCTTATCAGTTCATTAAAAGTGGTTAATTAATATTAGTATTTTTTAGGATAGACTATAAGTCTATCCTTCGTTTCTATCCTCATTAAATTCAATTTAGCATCTGATTAAGATTAATCACCTGATTAAGTTCTACTGGTTCATGCTAACCAGTCAAACCATGACCCACTGGCATCCAAATATATTCCTGCATGTATTGTGTAATGTTGTTTCATTCTTTTTTCCCAGTTTAATGTGCAGAGACAACTAAAATTAAATTTGTTAGTTGACTTCACAAGAGTATAAGAAATGTGGAAGATAGAAAAATTACTAGTGGCACAGAAATTATGCACTCATTTATATTCATTTATTTATTATAAATAAATTTAATTTAAAAAATATATAATTTATTATAAATAAAATACAATTATAAATACATTCTAACATTCTAACATTTTTTGGTCTGTCTGAGATGTGGCTTAGGTGTCGTCACACATACTCCGATATGTTGAGCCGTGGTGCTCAAGTGGATGGTGCGGGTTTGAGTGTGGTTTGTGACATTTCCTCAATTCGCTCCCTCCTTTTCTCACCAATATTTTTTTGTTCTCTCTCCATTATCCCTTTGCATAAAAAGTCCAAAAGTAAAATAGTGTTTTAGTTCTGACAGAAATAAACATTATGATGGCCCAGAGAACATCACACAGACAAGAAAGCCGCTGTCACACTGATAGCATCTCTTCACGCTCTGATATTGCACATTTCTGTCTAATTTTTCTCCTGGATAGATGGCTTGCCAGCGCTTGATAAATAGCAATTCTGACTTTGTCTTTGACATTTGGCATTTTCAGCAATTATTCTTTGACAGACAGAGATATGAGGGAGAGAAGAGGAACAATTTATGGCATATGTGTTTTGCATTGAGGACTTTAATACTTGCTAGTGGGTGTTACAAAGAGGAAGGCTGGAAAAGAGAAAACGTGGGGTCTTAATCGCAAAGAATTGGGCTGGGTGAGAAAATGGTCACTATTGAGCCACTGTATGCATTGGAAATGTTGAAGGACTTGAGTGCAAAGGGGCTCGTCAAGTCAAAATTTAAGAAGCTTACATCCAGCTGTGAAAGTGAAATAGGCCGTAAAAGTGTTATTGGCGTCATGTGGTGATTTCGCACAGTAGGCCTCCTGCTCCAATTCCCCAAGACGTGTTGTCTCCGTGTACTGGAAGCTTGTGACACTATAACAAATTCCTTGTATGTGCAAACATACTTGGCAATAAAGCTCTTTCTTGCTTTCTTTTCTTTCTTTCTTGTCCGTACAGTTAATCACTTAATTGTATTGCTTTTTGTCCTGTATTGGATCCCCATCTGCTACATTTGGCATTTGTAAGAACAGAGAGAATCGCTTAAAATATGTGTTCTGGGCTCATAATCTAGATTATAAAAAATTAAATCTATCATTAGTAAAGTAGATTTTTGCTTTATGCTTTTTTATCTCATGACAATATGCAGAAGTTTTGCCTAAAGTTTTGCCCCTGTTCATGTTTGGCCTCTTTTCCAGCAATTTTATTAGGGTGTTTTGGGTCGCTTATATTTATGAGGGGGAAAAAGTGCAAATCTTGAAAAAATACTATTAAATAAAATGCTAAAAAAAAGTAGTATTTTTTATAAAGTCTTGACTAGTAGGTGGAGCTGTCCCCAAATGCTCTTGTTGCTCTTGGCAGCAACACATCAAGTTTCATGTCTCTAAGATTTGTAAAGAATTGATTCATGTCTTTGACGTGTTACACTTGAACAGTGTAGTATATCAGAAACCTTTTAATAGCTCTTTGCTGACATGGACTGTGAGTTTTCTGATGAAATCTGATGAAACCTGTAGAATGAATTAAAATGGTGGAAAATCTAATTGGACAGAAAATGAAAACACTGCGAGCAATAAAGCAATAAAATACATGAGCAGTGCATGTCCAACATGTGAAAAAGTTATTTTCATATTATTTTAATAATTTTATAGTATTTTCAATTAACTTTTCTTTTTATATTTTCAGTTTTTATTTTAAAGGGGTCATATGATGCGATTTCAAGTTTTCCTTTCTCTTTGGAGTGTTACAAGCTCTTGGTGTATAAAGAAGATCTGTAAAGTTGCAAAGACTAAAGTCTCAAATCCAAAGAGATATTCTTTATAAAAGTTAAGAGTCAACCACGCCTACCTAAAACGGCTCGTTCTAACACGCCCCCACATATCTACGTCACTATGTGGAAATATTAGCATAATGCCGCCCAAATGTGCACGCAAAGAAAGAAGGCGTGGTTTCAGGAACAGCAGTAGTGTTGATGCAGCCATGTCAGGTAGACGCTGTGTGTGAGAGGCGGGGCATAGAGGACCTACAATAATGTACAGTTTTTGAAAAATAATGTTTTTTGAACATTAAAGCATGTCAACATGTTCTGTTACACCACATACACAAAATAATGATCTTTAAAATAGCATCATATGACCCCTTTAATTTCAGATTAAGTTTTTAAAAATGTGTTATGAGCTTTTGTCATTTTAATATTTTTTTTTATATTTCTATATATCCTTTTAGTTTAGTTTATATTCATTTCAGTTTTAGTAATTTAAGTACTTCAAATTAAACTTCATTTATTTCAGTTGGTTGCAAAGGCAACATTTCTAATTTTCATTTAAGTTTTTTTTTTCATCTAATATTTATATTTTGTTTCAAGCTTTATTTCTGCAAACAAAAATTATTTCAAATTGTTTGAAGCTTTTAGTTAACAATTACAACACTGATTTCCAAACCATTCGGTCCAAAGATTTTTTCTAAAAACTGTTGGTGGCACTAAAGAGTTTGGGAGGCCGAGAGTTTGGATAGTAAATATAATGTAGAAACTTTAATTTTCTGTAAAGCTACTTTGCAACAATTTGCATCGTGAAAAGCGCTATACAAATAAACTTGAATTGAATTGAATTAAAGGGATAGTTCATGGAAAAATTTAAATTCTGTCATCATTTACTTAACTTTTAAGTTGTTCTGAAAAGGCACGAGTTTCTTTCTTCTGTTGAACACAAAAAAAGATATTTTGAAGAATGTTCTTAAACAGTTGATGGTAGCCAGACTTCCATCGTATGGCAAAAAAATAAAAAAAACTATGGAAGTCAGTGATTACCATCAACCGCCAACCATTCTTCAAAATATCTTCTTTTGTGTTCAGCAGAGGAAAGAAACTCATACAGGTTTGGAACAAGTGGAGGGTGAGTAAATGATGGCAGAATTTTCATTTTTGGGTGAACCATCCCTTATGAACCTGCCCAGTGTGCCAATACAGTTTTATGGGCTTCCACTGACTCCCATGATGCATGAAGAATAAAAAAAAAAACTTTGGTTTTTGGTCCCTTGAAAAAGAAATGATGGCTCCAAAACGTTAAGGAGAAGGAATGAGGACAGTCTTGTTTTAGCAGAGAAGATTATGAGAGTATGAGTAAGAGACAGGACATATGAAGCAGGAATGCTTATGAATACTCACAAACATCAGTGGGGAACTTGTACCTACAGTAGGTGAATAAATGCGGTGAGGAAACTGCCTGTGCTGCTTGCGGTTTTTGATCTTGTGTCCTCCAGGAAGATCAGTCCAACAACCTCATGACCACTAGCCTAAACTGTCCTCCAAAATATCACCATATGCTTGTAATCGCATGATCCCGTAACTAGATTTGAAATGAGAACCCAGGAGCAGCATCCGTCTTCAAAGACTTTCATTCCCTCCTCCCGGTTCTAACTCATCTCTTCAGGTCGCCTTCCAAAGTTCTGGTGCCAAGTGATAAAATTCTCTCATCCACTCATTCATGAAGAAGCTGGTTACCATGGACACCCTCCATAGCAACCTGGAGTGCAGATGGTGTCACCACTGAATCCTTAGCTTAGACTGTAAAACATGAGTGAGTGAAGTGACATGTGGCCAATATGGTGACCCATACTAGGAATTAGTGCTCTGCATTTATCCCATCCAAAGTGTACACACACAGCAGTGAACACACACACCAGTGGGCAGCCATTTTTTTGCTGCGGCACCTGGGGAGCAGTTGGGGTGCCTTGCTCAAGGGCACCTCAGTCATGGTATTGAAGGTGGAAGAGAGCGCTGTACATTCACTCCCCCCACCTACAATCCCTGCCGGTACGAGACTCGAACTCGCAACCTTGGGTTACGAGTCCGACTCTCTAACCATTAGGCCACAACTTCCCCGACATGAAATCAAAGTTGACCTTTTAAGTGACTAGTTAGTTGATTACTCTTTCACACCCGTACTAATGTCTTCCTTCTGTAACACCTCACAATTAGGTTCAATTTGTTAAAGACTAGTTACATAAACTATGAAAAAACATTTTAAAGCATTTATTGATGTAGTATAATATTATTTTAAATATATTGGTCATTTCATTTATGTTAGTTTATATTAGATACTTAAATCTAGGTAGGTAGATAGATAGATAGATAGATAGATAGATAGATAGTTCTTCATTGTTAGTTAAAGGTACCTATGCATTAACTTATTATTCTATTTCAGTCAAAAAAACATCACATTATGGTAGTAAAATTGTTTGTGAATACCTTTTCATGTTTAATGTACTGTATGTGCTTTTGTGGTGAATAGTCAGGTTCAATGGCAAGGTTCAGTCGGGTCATTTAAAAAAAAATAAATAAAAAATATTTAAACTTCTCAAAAAATTTCAGTACTGGAAGGTGAAAGAAATTCCTTATAGCCTGAGATAACAAGCTTAGAATGTAATTACAACCAAGCAATGCAATATCCAGTTGGTGACCTTTCAAAACCATGCTGTTTTAAATTCCAGCTTTATTCTTGTTAACAAATATTTGCAAACATTTTTATAAGATATAAAACAATAAGGTTAGCAATGACATAAGCTCATTGGAAAAACGTGCCTCTACCTACTAAAAAAAACATAACTATAAATAACAATCCACTGCAGATTCCAGCTGAAATGAACACTGGTGGAAAACACCAACAATTTTTATTCTTTTCACACAAATTTCTATTACAGGGGCAGATTATCAATTAAAAATAACCTTGCACAATATTATGTTTTGACCTCAAAACAGGTTTACCATATTGCATGATTTGTAAGCCAATACATTTTGAAGTTTGCATCACATAATTAGCTTCATATGGCTTTTCTGATGTAAACTTGCTTGCTAGCTCACCTGGTTCAGTGATGCAGAGCACTCGGGTACGAGTCCTGTGATACACGTCACAATAGAACAGCTCAAAGACTTGCAGAAGCAAGCTAAAATGGCATGGTTGCTTCAGCAAACATTTTGGATAAAACTGAACATGCTTTAAGCACCCCTCACTGGACATCTCACTTTTGAAAATAGTGCAAAACATACAAGAAGCAACGCCACAGGCAGGTTTTTTTTCTAAAGAGGTTGGTAAGAAAGCAAAGAGTTTTTGAAAGCTTGCATATTTCTTAGCTTACATGACATGAGAAAAATGCAACTTTAAACACAGGGCTTGATGTAAGTGATATTGACACATTAAATAAATGTTTTGTGCTTATTATACTGGGGTGCAAAAACATGCACCTGTAAGGTACTTCACTTTCACAACCTTTGAATGAAAAATAAACTAACATTCAGTGACAGCTGATCCATTCCAGTGAATATATCTGCAGTGTTTAATTTGAATTAACATCTTTTAATTTGATGAACACATCCTTTCACGTCACATCGTTATTAGCGTGACATGATTAGCTGTGATACAGTAATGTTTAATGAAGGGTGATGTTATTCTAACAAGTCAAATAATTTGGAATTAACCTATCATAACATTCATTTTCATTCTGACACTGGCTAATTTAACTAATTTGCACAACATTAGTTGACTTAAGACATACTCAGTCATGTCTTAGCAGTTAGCGTATGTGTTCTGACACTTTAAACCAGAATGCTAATGAGGGCAACACTGGTTTGGCTCATTTCCTATAAATGTCCCTGTCACTAAAGGTGTCCAAAAGGCCAAAAACTCTTTACTTTTTGTGTATCAGTGCTAATATTAACATAGCATCACTTATCCTCTCTGTAACTAATCATAAGGTAGTTAGCTAGTTTCCCAGCCTTGCCAAAGTTTTAGATTGATTTTGGACACCTGTCAGCTGGTAACCCTGGGAGTCCAGTTGACTAATCAACTAAACTAGCCAATTTCATTCTCTCTCTTGCAGGTTCACCATTCAGAGATGAGATCACATTAGGCATACTGCAGCTGCAAGAGAACAACAGATTAGAAGTCCTAAAGCGTCGATGGTGGGAGGGCGGAAAGTGTCCTAAAGAAGAAGACCATCGAGCCAAAGGTGAGTCAAGCACTGTTATTATACTAACTAGCACCTGAACATAACATACTGTTCTGTTACTGAACATCCTGATACCAACGGTACTGGCACTTCAATTTATGGGTTCTGGTACGACCCTGAATGTATATATTCTTAAAGGGGTCATAGGATGCTACATGCACTTTTACAAGTTGTTTGAACTGAAATGTGTGTTGGCAGTGTGTGTACACAACCACCCTATAATGATAAAAATCCACACAGTGGTTTTTTTTTTAATCTACTAAAATCTTTACCCCTTTCTCAAAACGAGCCGATCTCAGATGCCTGTCTGTGTGACGTCACACAGACAGGCCCCTCCCACGATAGTTTGATTGACAATAGCGTTTCAGCACAGACTGGAGTGGTGTCTTACCTTAGACACGCCCTGAGTGAGCTGTCATCAGTCCGCCATTGTTTCACCGCCAGAACAGATGTAGACAAGAATGACTCCTAAGCGCGAGTTTTGAGCAGTGTAGAGTAGCACTTGTTGTTTTGTCATTTCTCCGATCACAAATGCAGACATGGTTTTACGTTTATGCGGCAAAAGACAGTATAAGTCATTATAATCCGTAATTATGTCCCCACTGGATGCAACAAATGCCTCGTTTATAATGGGTTTTAATGTTTTTGTCTCGTTGATCCGGCCGGACAGTGCATCACAGTATGTATGGTAAGGGGCGTAACATTTCCGTCACACGCTTGAGGTATTCGGCCAATCACAACGCACTGGATAGCTGGCCAATAACAGCACACCTCGCTTTTCAGACCGATGAGCTTTGTAAAAATTGACGAGTTTCAGAAAGGCGGGGCATAGAGGAGAAACAATAATGTACAGTATGTGGAAAATAATGTGTTTTTTTAACCTTAAACCGCATAAACACATTTCATTACACCAAATACACAAAATAATGTTCTTTTTAGCAACATCATATGACCCCTTTAAGTCTATGTGTGTGTATTAGTATGAGTAAGTTTTGCTATTCTTACAGGGACAAAAATGTATCCTATTCATTTTATCCTATAGTTTTTCACCCTTTTATCATAAAATATTAGAAGAATACTAAAACTGATGAATGTCTTTGTAAGGAAAACAGCTTTAAAAGAATGTAAGGCAATCAAAGGTTCCTTAGATATCGCCATGCTTTTGCCAGTTCACAGTACATTAAAACAATTGTTTTGTAAGTTTTATATATAAATATTATGTTTAAAAAACTGCAAATAAGGCATCAAGTTGGTGTATGTAAGCACTGTTGAAGTGGAGATTTCTGGCTCGAGTGCATGAGAAAAACTTATTTTGAGAAAACAGCCTTTACAGATATGTATTGCAATTGAAATCTACAAGCACAAATAGATAAAATGTCATAAAATAAAAACTTAATGTGCATTTAGGATGTGTTCTTTCCACTAATATGGAAGAAGTTGCTTTATGGAAGCAAAAGAGCCCAAAACCTCAAAATAGATCAGTGGATGAAAAAACAATGGTTTTGCCTGAAGCGTCTTGCCTTAAATAATATCTAATTTTGTGGCTAAGTATACCAATACTTGTATTTTTGGATTAGGGATGGCTCTATATGAATGCCCAAGATCATGAGTTCCCTCAGATCGTCCTGGGAAAACTTGATAATATGAGAGAATTTCACAAGTGTGATTTCCAGGCCTGGTGAAGTCCTGGAAATTAATAAAGTTAATAAAATGTCAAGGAAATCTTTCTAGACAGAAACAGACATTTCTAAAGTATTTATTTGGTTATAAATTACTATTTGTGAGTGCAATGTCAGCAAAATGATTTTTATAAACAAACATGGATAATAGAAATTCATTGGTCCATAAAGTGTGGGAATTCTGAATGTAGTGTTTGCATGGTGTGATTTGTTTACCTGCAGCAGCCTTCCCTAGCCTACCTAGGTGTATCTTGCTCTTCAAATAAACATCTATTTGTGTGAAATATAAAAAAATGAGTTTTCCTCAAATCACACAAATATTGGCAGTGTGGATGTTTGATTTCCTGTCGCTCTCTATATTGCTATAATGTTGCATATAGGATGTACTACATCCATCTGATTCAAACAACAGATGCTTCACAGTTCTGCTAACTCTGTGAGTGTTTATTTGTGTGGTCTGGTGATATTTGCATTCTGTATGTTGTAGACTCATGCAGGCCCAGGGGGATTGGAGGGAAAATGGTAGCTATTTGGTGCGCAGGCATGAACACACACGTGTACCTGTGTGTGTAATTTCTCTAGTGTGGTTCGCAAAGCTTGTATATTCACCAGAAAGTGACATTTACAATCTCTCAGGGTTATTTACAGGTCTGCAAGAAAATGTCAAATAATATGAGCTCTGTTTTTGTGATTCAGTACTGCTAAACCCAGAGTTATTCTGTGCACTTATTCTTGCTCAAACAAAGTTTTTAGTTGGAGTTTCTTTGTAATTGTATCAATGGCAACTAAACCACTTGAATCCTGATTAAGAGAAGCCGAAAATCCCTGTCTGTTCTCAGCTGTTGTTGCTTCAGGAATTCAATTTTAATGTTGACCCAACATAGAATAGAAGTTGATTATTGTGCAAAATCAAACAAGTTCATGTTAATAGAAATAAATTTCTTCTTCTTTTTTTTTTCTTCTTTTTTTTTAAGATATTTCTCCTTCCTTTTATACTCACAGTGGCTTCTGACATTCTTCCCACACAGTCCTGCACATTTTAGGTTCCGTTCCCTCATTATTATTATTGTTATTATTTTAATAAATTCATAGAAAAATATCATTTCAGACATTTATTTATTTATTTATAAAGAGAAATTAAACATTGTACTTATCAAACCACCTGGCTTCATGCTTCCGCTGATAACTCTAAGGAATACCGCCTACACCCACCTACATTTCTGAAATATGTTTTAATAGGATCCCTCTGGAAACCTGCGGGAATGCAGATCTCTAATCAGATCCACAGTGTGTGTGTGTGTGGAAGGACGTTTCTGTGTGTTGCTCACATTTCTGTGTTTTTCCTTCAGGTCTAGGTATGGAGAATATCGGCGGGATATTTGTTGTGCTGATATGTGGGCTCATAATAGCTGTTTTTGTAGCCATTATGGAGTTTGTGTGGTCCACGCGCCGCTCGGCCGAGACAGATGAGGTACGCCCTCACTCCTGCCCTGTCCGAAACCACAGACACTCACGAGTAGGTCACAACGCCACCCAGTTACGCCGTCTGTGTTTGTGATGTAACTGTTCCATAGCTTTCACACAGTTTACCGCTCGTATTTTTACAGCTCAAACAGTGTACATGGCTTTAGCAGCAACAAGGTCATGGGTTCGATTCCCCGAAATGATAAAATGTATATGCATTGTGTGTTGCATATACTGTATGTTGCTCTGGATAAAAAGGGACAAGTTGTTTGGAGTATGCATGAATGCTATTATAAACCATTTTAGTATGTTCATTTAATTAAATGGAAAATTAACAATTTTTAAGACTGAAGTTGAGAACGAAAAAGGAATCTTGTTTTTTTTTTTCTAAAGAAAATGCTTGCTCATGCAACTAGACAAATGGAAAAAATAAAGACTTTGTTGTTTTTGTACGGAAGACTCTACTTTGCAAACGTTATTCAATGCAGGTTTTTTCTGTATATCTAGTGGCAAAGCAAAAGCAAAAGCCATTAGCAACAGCAAGCACATTTACTGATATAATATGTATATTGAATGCATTGTTAGTCGCTTTGGATAAAATCTTCTACCAAATGCATACATTTAAATTTATGGGATTTTTTCACCCGTTTATTAGTCTGCTAGGTAGATAAACCCCTAAGTAAGTGGTTCTCAACCAGGGGGCCGGGGCCCACTCTGGGGCCTCAGCAAACTTCCAAGGGGGCCTCAAGATGACTTAAAATGATTTATAATAAGACATAAAAAAGCATTAAAATAAGATGAAACAACTAAAACTCAAGATATTTCTTATTTCAATTCATCCCCTCTTTGAAGAACCAGGATTCATTTTTTTGCGTCGAAATACCAGGAAATATGATGTAACCTAATTTTAATATAGAACTGGAAGTCATGTAAATTATTAACCTTATAATCCATGGGTATTTTAATATATTTTATGACTATGCATTTTTCTACTGATGCCAAGCTCAAAATATTTTATTTATTTACGAATCCTTATCAAGTAAATAACGAGCAGCTGTACAAGTTATTGGGCCTTCAAATATTGTTGTGTGCAGTGCAGGGTCTTGAAGTGGAAAAAGGTTGAGAACCACTGCCCTAACTTTCATTATGAGATACGAATAGTGATGCCCACATTAGATAAATTATGTTCTGTTTTCACTTTTTGTCTTTTCTCCTTATATATTTCCTTCCTGACTCTCTTTCCTCTCTCTTCCTCTTTGATCCTCACTAAGGTGTCAGTATGTCAGGAAATGATGACTGAATTCAGAAACGTTATCTCCTGTAAAAAGAACACTCGTTTGCGGCGCCGGCGACCCCTCTCGTCCCAGGGCATCCTCCGGCCCTCGGCCCGTCACCCTTTAGGAGCTCCCCGTCAAATGCGCCTTGTGCGGGAGATGCGTCTCAGCAACGGCAAACTCTACAGCGGGACAGGACCATTAACTGGCGCCGCAGCAGAACCGGGACCTGGTGGGGGCGCTGCGGAAATGGGCCCAGGCCCTCAGCGACTGCTGGAGGATCCTCTCAGCGCCAGTGTCCCCAGTAGCGCACCCGCTCTGGTCCCCACGGCGGCGCCCCGTGGCTGCACACACGTGCGGGTGTGCCAGGAGTGCCGGCGGATCCAGAGCCTTCGCTCCACGCCATTTTGCTCACGCATCTCGCCACTGGCCTCCGCCATGTCCTCTCTCCCACGTTTGCCACCGCCGCCCCCCTCCGCCTCCAATACAAACACTGACAGTGAGGAAGGAGGCTCGGGCAGCCCACGCAGGGCCAAACCCACGCCCCCTCCAAGGCCGCTGCCGCCCACTAAAACTCCCTCTACCGATCTCCTCTGCAAGCAGGACTGAGACCAAGAGTAAGGAAACTTTTGTCGGGACAATAATTTAATGTAAATGAGTGCTGGAGGACAGACGGAAAGACTCTGCCCACGCCTCCAGTCAAAGTGACCTCTTGGATACTGCAAATAAAGGCCATTTTTGAATGCAAAATTACACTGAGTGAGAGAAAGATGATTCAGCCAACCGCTTGCTGTCCAAGTGTCTGGTTTTAACACCACGTCTTTCGGCAGCGCTCAGAAAGCCAGTGAGGTTTGGCATGCTGTTGAGACTATGTAATGCATATCCTGTGAAAGTATGCTATGCAACATGTCATAAAGGGAAAGGTGGAGGAAAACTATGAGGACAGCTGTTAGTTTTGCAAAGAAGTGTGGATCTTCTTCATGCTTTGTGATGGGGGACTGCGCTCCTGAGAGAGGACGATGGAGCCTGCACCTAAAACGTGTGCACATTGAACTGAAATGACTTTGGTGCAAATTCATTTTATTTTATTTCTTCATTCTTTAAATAAGTTGGGGAGGGTTACAATTCATTTTTATTCCTGAATGTCTCTTGCTTGTTTTCCTTTCTAGCTTCTTCTTTGGTGTCATTCTTTCAGTTCTTTTTAAAAAAATACAATATTTGTTTTTTCCCTCTTGTTAATTTCTCTGAGGACAAAGTATATAGATTTTTGTAAGTTTTGTGGTCAGGAATTGGTTTTCCTCTTCTTCAACCTCTAAGATTACTCACCTGGTTTCAGTCTCTCATCTTCTGTCTTAAAGGGTTAGTTCACCCAAAAATGAAAATTCTGTCATTAATTACTCACCCTCGTGTTGTTCCAAACCCCATAAGACCTTCGTTCATCTTCGGAACACAATTTAAGATATTTTTGATGGAATCTAAGGGCTCTCTGACCCTCCCATAGACAGCAAGGTAACTACCATGCTCAAGGTCCAGAAAAGTACCAAGATGATCGACAAAGTAGTCCGTGTGACATCAGTGGTTCAACTGTAAAGTTACGAACACCATGACGCGAGCGTATGGCTGCGCCGGCGCTGACCCAGATCTGGCGTGATGACGTCATTATGCCAGATCTGGGTCAGCGCCGCCACATGCTTGCGTCATGATACTGTCGTGAACGCGTGTCCACAAGTGACGCAGTAGAGACGAAAATGTGGAATAAAGTCGTTATTTTTGTTTTCTTTGCGCAAAAAAAGTATTCTCGTAGCTTCGTAACTTTACAGTTGAACCACTGATGTCACACGGACTACTTTGTCGATCATCTTGGTACTTTTCTGGACCTTGAACGTGGTAGTTACCTTGCTGTCTATGGGAGGGTCAGAGAGCCCTCAGATTTCATCAAAAATATCTTAAATTGTGTTGCGAAGATGAACGAAGGTCTTACGGGTTTCGAACAACACAAGGGCGAGTAATTAACGACAGAATTTTCCTTTTTGGGTGAACTAACCCTTTAAACACCAACTGTTAAAGTTTAAAATCAACATGATAGGCATTAAAAACCTAGTTTACTTCCATAATGTGACATTTCCAGGTAAAACAGGATATTCAAGTAGGGGAATGTAGGATGGGATGAAAAACTCCAAAGTGAGTGTTCCAGACCTGAATGTCATTGGACTATGGAGTGCAAGATTCACCCTTGAGACAGTCTCAGCCAATCCCATTGGTAACACTGCTTTCCAAATCAATACTTATTTGCTATTTTTGCCATAACCTTCATTGTATTATTGTTAACCATCATTGAATTACTGTGCTAATTATTGGCGAGATTTTAAAAAGGCTGCATTACTGTACTTAATACAGTACTGTACAATAATGCCAATTTGGTTATTGGTTAATATTAACAAACTCGATGATGTCAACTGAACAGGAAAGTTCCATTTTTTAGCATTTTTCCCTAACATACACTGGTGAATCATTCACAATAAGGCCAGGAATGTGTGTAAAGAAACTAAATAGGATCTGTTTCGATTTCATGTTGACTTTAACAAGCTCCCCGTCAGAATTTGCAATTCTCAAGAACACAGATAAACATTTTTCATCCCTGGAACAATGACAACAACAACAAGACGAGACAGAAAAGCCTTTGTGCACCTGAAGGGGCATTTATCTGATTATGTGAGAGGACAATTAATGATGTTTTTCATTACAGAACAAAATGAGCCTCTATCATGAATGGTTTGCTGAAGTGCACTAGAAGTTGCTGTCTGGGTGCTTGAGAGATGCAGTTATCCATTTATGTCCAAAGTGTAAACATAGCAGCCCTGTTTAGAATCTGCAGCATTATAGCATTTGTATGTTGGTGCTTTATGATTGTGTGTGAGAGTGAGTGTGTGTGTGTCAAAGGGAGACGGAAATCTTTTTTTTTTTTAATCAAAGCTGATTTTTTTATTTCTCATTAATTTTCAAAGATTTCTATACCAGTGCTTGAAGAATCACACCCACAATGAAGAAAATAAAGCAAATGATTCAGATTATATTGTTATTAATATTCCAATAAAACTGTGGGGTTATGTAGGAGGGCTGTTGCCCTCTTTCGTTAAATATATAGACACATGTTTTGAATAAAACAGTGATTCAAACTGTGACTTTTGCCCTTAATGGATGCTTCTGTTAGCTTATAAACTAGTTCGATTTTTTTCTCTCTCTCTTTTTCTTATTTATAATACTCTGTTTGGAATACTTTGGAACAAGTTTATTAATTTTGCGATAAAAGTTATAAGTTATGGTTTTGTTGTACTAACCTGTAACCATAACATGTGATGAATGACAGGACATTTCGTTGATCATTTTCGTTTCTACGCTGCATCTAAAAATTAGTGTGGCCCCGCCCATAGTGAAATCTCATTGGTCCAAAATTCCACCTCCACATAACCTAATTTTCCTCTTCAAATTAGATACAGTATAGATAAAATATACAGCATAAACCGCAAATATTTAATTTGTACAATATTATAGAAATTGTTTTAATAACTCCTGAGAGTTCTCTTACAAATATGACTTTTATTTTTATTTTATTTCTCTTTCTGCTTTCATGGCAGCTTGTGCACGGGCAGTCGCTAGTGTGTTTACTGAGATGTTTACATGACGTGAATGTAGCTTAAATGATAAACATGTTCTAATTGCCCGTTCTTGTATCAGGTCATGCAGCGTTTTCGCTTTCATTGTGGATGGACAAATTGTTTGCATCACGCCTGGTTAGGACACAATTGTTGTGTTGAATGCTACAGCTAATCTCTTTGCATGTTGTCCGGAATCGATGTATCCATTATGTTTAACAATTAAATGTTTTAGTATTCTTAGAAAGACGTCAGCACAGGTGAGTCACACTACATTTCACACGTTATTTAACCAAATATATGCAGTAGCTAAATGTCACCAACCTATTCAACAGGAGAATTCAACAGGAAAGATGATATTAAATCATTCCCACACATATTCTCAAGGAAACCTGACATTTGGTTATGAATTACATAAGGGCAGCCAAAGGGATATGATGAGATGATCAGGGGCGAATTTAGTGAATTGGGGGCCCCAGGCAAAATATAGGAATGGGACCTGGATCAACTTTGAGGTTGTTGTTGTTTTTTTGTGATGCTTGCTGATGCTCAATGGTGCCCCATATTTGTGTCCAGTGTTTCTACTTTTTTCATGTACCTCTTACAATGGCTTTCTTTCATGTTGTAGACCAAGAAATAGCAATTGATTTACAGTTGAGATACAGGTTTTCACAAAAACAAAGTAAATTATAAAATGATAAACCTCACAATTGAGCCTTTAAACCATTTTTTTAAAAAGAAAAACGATGAGTCAGAAGTATAAATTATTATATTTATATAAAACGGGGTTATGTGGGTGGATTGTCCCATTGGTCTGAACAAAAACTGCAGACGGGATTATTGAAAATGCACATTCATTCTCTGCCAGTAGGAGGCGCTTTTGGAACATCAGAAATGTAGCGGTAAACAAAGCAGTGCTGCGCTGATAAGCTACTTTATCAGATAAAATGAAAATACCATGAAAACTTTTCTGAAGGCAGGCTATTCATTCATATAAAAAATTGAATTAGTGAGAATGAGAAAAGTGTGAAAAAATATCAAATACATTTAATTTTAGTAATTTTAACTACAAATTTAAATGAAACTGAAAAAAAAAAGAATGAAAAGGAAAGAATGCATTTACACACCTAAGGATTATAGGCTTATCAACCCAAAAAATGATTTGGCTCCTTTTCATGAATAAGCGGCATTTAAAACAATAAACATAAAATACCCACTGTTGATACACAAGAAGCAGGTTCAACGTGGACACACAGACGGTTGTCGTGGTAATAAACAATGTAAACAGCAACCGTTTGCGTGTCCGCGCTTAATGCGCATCTGGTGTATGAAAAGCATTTTAGGGGGCCCTTGGCTTTTGAGGGCCTACGGCGGTCGCTGACCTTTGCCTAATGGGTAAGTCCGCCCCTGAAGATGACTAAACAGAGCAGATGTCCTGCTTTTTGTGCTTTTACATGCAACAGAGAAAACGGTGAAATAATCTGTACAAAACTGCCTTCCATTGGTTGACAGAAGCATTACCTGCGGATAGTGGCTTTATTGAGATGTTCTCAGGCTGGTGCAGTGTTTTATGTGATTTTCTGGGTGTCTGGGGTAAAGTTAGGGCAGCAAAATGAGAGAAGATGGGAAGAAGCACAGACTGTGAGTTCAAGTGAAATGAGCAACATTGACTTAAAGGAAACTACAGAATAGGACAAAATGAAAATCTATTTATAAACAATGTCTTCCAGTCCTAGTGAAAGGGTTAGAACATTACAAAGAGAGATGCATTTAAAATAATTAACCTCAAATGTGTCATGCCCCTTGTGTGCTCCCTGAAATTATAGTCAAGTGGATTAATTAAATTAAATTAATTAATTAAATTCCAAAATAAATACATTTTTTATATTTTTAGAGGTAAAAATTTTTGTCTGAAAAGCTGTGGAACAAATCATTCATTTGCATGTGATGTCTCAATTTGGTCAGTCTAATTGAGTTTGCTACTTCCACAGATGACAGATTTAAAATGTTTGTCCTTTTTTTATGGGACAGGAAATTATTTTGTTTAGTTATGGACAATTTCAGCCTCTTTTTAATTACAAAATGCAACAATAAGCTTAAATTGGGGTTTGACTTGGGTACATTTTCTATCTGGACTATTGGAAATCTTACAATCGTTTAAGAGCGTTTTCCCCTGTTTAGTCATGTTGTATCTTGTTTTGGACACCAAATGAGCCAGGACTGTCACTAGTCCCCCCTGCAAATATATAAATGCATGGTGTCCCTGATGTACTTCACAAAAGTTGAAAAATGAAAAACTGATTATTTTATGACATTTATATTTGACTTTTGTGAATATGATATTCTATTTTTAACAGTAGGTACTGTTAGGATTTTCTGCTTGTTTGAATCCTGATTCATTTAAAATTAGAAAATTTGAAATAATGACCCTTGATGCATAGCAAAGTCAAAACAGTGATTCTTGAGACATGTACAAAACATTTCCCATGAATTGTCCCAAAATCATGGCATTGCATTAAATTCCTTACACT